CTTTAAAGTTGTTCAAATGAAGTTCTTAGCAATGCATATTACTAATCAAAAATTAAGTTTTGATATATTTACGGTAGGAAATTTACTAAATATCTTCATGGAACATGATCTTTACTTAATATCCTAATGATTTTTGGCATAAAAGAAAAATCAGTAATTTTGACCCATACAATGTATTTTTGGCTATTGCTACAAATATACCCCAGCGACTTAAGACTGCTTTTGTGCTCCAGGGTCACATAGTGAAATGATATTAGTTTTGTGAATGCCTGTCTCTCTGAAGGCTCCGTACCTCACGACGTGCCTCAAGTCCTGATCAACCGCGAGCCGCTGCCGCACCTGCACTTCGACGTGGAGCTGCTCGGAGACTGTGACGTCATCGTGAACGAACTCTGCCATCGTCTGGGAGGCGACTTCGAGCAGCTGTGCTTCAGCTCGTCCCGTCTCAGCGAGATCACGGAGAAACCGTCCGCTCGGAGCCCCTCCACACGAGCGTCAGAGGACACTTCACTGTCTCCCGAGAAGGAGGAACCGCAGACAGCAGCCAGAAGAACGAGCCCTCCTCCAGAGCCGTTAGCGGAAACTAACACAGACCAGTTAGACTCCAACCCAAAAGAGCATTCTCCGAAGACAGCTACAGAAGCACTGGACTCTACTGATGACGTGAAGGAGGAAGAACCAGCAGATCGTCACCGTGTTGAAGTGCGGAGACGGTGCTGGAGAAGCCCAATCTGTCAGAGTCCAATCAGCAAACGACTCGCAGGTAAAATCTTTTTTTTTAACACATTTTTGAGGGGTTCCTGCTGTTATCAAGAATGACTTATTAGTGCATTTTATTGCAAATTACACAAAAATTATCAAATTAATCTTTAATCAAAATTAAATAGCATAATTTATGTACTATATTTATTTATTATATTTATATTTATATTATACAATATATTTTTAATTATATATAGACATTTTTATTATATATATATGTATGTGTGTGTATGTATCATGGTTTTTATATAAATGTTTTTTGTATGTATAATTATGTAATTTATATTATATTAATATAGTTTTTATTATGTTATTATTGATCTTCTCAGAAAAGAAGGAAGCAAACTCATTGTATTTGCTGTCGGAGAGCATTTCACTGGCAATCTGACTTGGGGGGTTTGTCAGTCTCTCAACAGTAGCAAAAAGAGTGCGAGTGTTGTTTAAGTTACTGTTTATAAGGTTTGAGAAGAATGACTGTCTAGCTTTGCCTAGTTCCACATTGAAAGCACGAAGGCTATCTTTATATATGCTATAGTGGATTTCAAGTTTCGTCTTCCGCCACATCCGTTCTGCTTTTCTGCATTGTCTTTTCATACTCTGAACTAGATAAATGTTATTTATTATATTTAGATTATGATGTTATTTTTATTATATTTTTGAATGGTTAAGTATAACGTGTTCATAAAATGTTCAATGTTGCGTGTTAAAATCACATTAGGTCACTGTTCATATAAACGATGCTTAAAACCAAAGCTATCAGATATTTATTTCTGGAAAGTTTTGCGTTCTCGAACACTCACTGCATGCATGTCATTTGTTGTTTCTCTGTTTTGCAGCCTCGCAGTATTTATTTCGAGCACCGAACCGCTACATTTTCCACGGCGCCGAGGTCTACTCGAGCTCGGAGGACGAGTCGTCCAGTTCCTGCGGCAGTGACAGCGATGGCTCTCGCTGCAGCGCGGACGCTGTGGAAAATGAAGACAGCGACGTGGAGGAAGAAAACACAGACGGCCTGGCAGAGACAGTACAGGAGCGCGAACACAAACGCCTTCAAACGGACTGCACCGCAGAAACAGACCCACCACCCACACAATAACTCGCTAGCACTCGCTGCGTCTCATGTGCTCAAGTCTGTTTGATATATTTTTGTATCTCCTCCCTCCTAAACGCCCTGTTATGTCTTCTAATGCATGCAACTTCTTTCTTTTGTTTCACCACCAGTCTTTTTATATTTTTGCATTTTTAGAATATACGTTTAATTCCGGTGAACATTTCTGCCTGAGAATTGAACATGCATTGAACATGGATAAAAAAAAGGGAATGATTTTCAAACCAAAGATCACTTTTTCCGTATCGTTTTCATGTTTTTCCACAAGTTTCTTGTTGGATCTGGTCAATGTGTTTCGCATGTGCACCAAACTGTGGCATTTTGGCAGCCTACTGTTGAAGTCTTTTATAGCCAGTAAAGTCTGATAGTCATCATGTTTTCCATTAGTTTTTATACCTATAGAAAGACATTATTTACATGCATTCACACTCTTGTGATTCCTGTCCTCAAGCACTTCTGAATCAGTTTTTGATTAATATGCCTGTTGATGTTGGTCGGTTTTATAAATGCAGTGTCTTTTCCAGCTCTCGTTGACCGGGCATTAAAATCTTTATAACACTGTTAAGTTATAATATCAACACGACCTCATGATTCCCTCGTGCAGTTGATGCAGTTTTGGTTGTTTGTTCTTAATCTCTGTTCAAAATACGAATTTATTTTCAGATTTTGTGTTCGCGTTAATGCAGATTGTCGATGCTGCAAAAGAGTAAATGAATACTTTTGTCCCGCAAATACAGACTTCACAAATGTAGCATCTTTGACTCTCATCACTCATCCTTGAGCTAAACGCTGTACATGATGCATGCAAGTTAGTAACTAAGAATGGTAGAGAAGTATCTTGCTTGGTAATAAAATACTCAAGAGTTTGCAGAATGATCAGTTGAAGCTGTGTTTAATCAGAGGGTCGTGGAGGCCTGACCATAGTTGCATTTCTAAACTATTTCATACAGTTGTATTTTTAAAAAATATGTACTGTGTTCTACATTTACTGCACGTTTGAATTATGAGGTTACAAGTTTTATGTAGTTTATTATAGTTAAATAGATGATTAGAGCATCTTGATGAACCTGGACTGCAGTCATCTAGCAAAAATGTAGTGTTATTATTACTAAGTAAACAATCCTTGGTTAAATAACTGACTTTGCAGCCTTATTTAGGCAGAAAACGCCTGTTTGAATATATAAATATAGTTTTTAATATATATTCGCATTGCTGTAGGTAAGTTAAGTAATGGATCTAGCAAGTGTGTTGTTTAAAAAAGTCAATAACAAATCCATTAAGACTTACAGAACATTTTTATTAATAAAAATACATGAATAATGCCTAAATTAAATAGAATTTAATGCATTTTTGTTTGCATTTTAACTTGTTAATTTTTTCTTAATAATTGGTCATATTTTGTTATATTTTATTTATATTTTATTAAATAAAATTGTTATTAATATTGTATTGTTTTTTTAAAACAACATAATATATCATTTTATTTAGCCTGTTATTTATATAGTTATAACAAATCCATTAAGATATAGAGTATTTAATTAATTGCTTAAAATTAATTTTAAAGCTCAGAAAATTGCAGTAGAAAAGGCAAGATTATGCATTGCTAAGAACTTCATTTGGACAAATTTAAAGATGATTTTCTCTATATTTAGATTTTTTTGTTTGTTTGTTTGGTTTTTTTGCACCCTCAGATTCCAGATTTTCAAATAGTTGTATCCCAGCCAAATATTGCCCTATCCTAACAAACCATACATCAATTAAAAGCTTATTTATTCAATTAAATTCAGTTATAAATTGACCCTTATGACTGGTTTTGTGGTCCAGGGTCACATTTGTAAGTCGCTTTGGTTAAAAGCATCTGCTAAATGCCTAAATGTAATGTACAAATAATGTTTGAGGGATAGCAAGCCAAGAAATAAATACTGATTGATAAATATTAATTTATAAAATTAAATATTCGATATTTATGCCGACGACGGACTCTTATTTTGCCATGCGGACTGTTGTTTTGACACGTCCGCCATTAAACGGAAGTCCGTGTCGGATCTCGCTTCGGATTGACAACAAAATAAACAGGAGTGAAACAGACGCGGTAAACGTGCGTCGGTCATCGCTGAGCTGAAGCGGGTTTGAGCTGAGATGGAGTGCTAAAGCTCTCTCAGTGCGGCGGCAGCATGGAGGAGATGCAGGGGGTCGAGGATGATAATCATAACTGTCGCGCGGAGGCTGTGAGTGTGTGTTCACCTGCGCAGGTGTGTGTGGACTCAGACTCCAGCAGTGACACCTGTGAGTCCACATCTGCGCTGCTGCTCGACTCCACCTCCAAGTTCCGTAAGTTACACCAACACTCCTCTGTTTATCAGTTTGCACTGGCTACCAATAGCTGCTCGCATAAAATTCAAGGCATTAATGTTTGCCTACAAAACCACCACTGGCTCTGCACCCCTTTACCTAAATTCATTACTTCAGAGTTATGTGCCTCTAGAAGCTTGCGTTCTGCAAGTGAACAACGCTTTATTGTTCATCCCAAAGAAGGCAAGGCAAGGCAAGTTTATTTGTATAGCACATTTCATACACAATGGTAATTCAAAGTGCTTTACATAAAAGAAAAGAAAAAAAAAATAATAATCACAACAATAAAACAAGGAATTTAAAAACATTGAAAATGATTAAAACAATTGATTTAAGAAGTTTAAAATGAATTTAAGAAAACGATTATACATAGAATATAGTGCAATCAGTTCGGACATCGCACAGTGCTCATTCAATGAATGCACAGCTAAACAGATGAGTTTTGAGTCTGCATTTAAATGTGACTAATGTTTTAGCACATCTGATCTCTTCTGGAAGCTGATTCCAACTGCGGGCGCCATAATAACTAAAAGCAGACTCCCCTTGTTTTGGGTGAACCCTTGGTATTTCTAACTGACTAATCCTAATGATCTGAGTGGTCTGTTAGGTTTATATTCAGTGAACATATCTGCTATGTATCTGAAGGATGCAATCTGAAGGCTCAAGTTGATCTTTGCTGAAGTTGGTTGATGGAA